ATGTGAAGTAGTTTCAATTTTTTTGGATCAATTGTCTCTCAACAGTAATGCATAGAAACCTAAATATGGAAAAACACGGAAACATTGGGGTTCATTTACTAAAGGCAAACAGATTATGCATTTAGCAAGTTGCTGCAGAGCTTTGGAAAGAAGTAAAACTTCATTTTACAAAGAATATCCAATTATATGCAAGGAAAATTTAAAAAATGGCATTTTTGCTCGCACATGATTGGGTGATAGAAGACAGCAAAGCTTCCTCTCATTTACTAAGCTCTGGGACAACTGCACTTGCAAAGTGCACAATCAATGTGCCTTTAGTAAATCCACCTCATTACACTTAGTAAAATATTCAGTATCTCACAGAAGTGAGTACACATCTCACATTTTGTAAATATTTTATTCTTTTCATGTGACAACACTGAAGAAATGACACTTTGCTACAATGTAAAGTAGTGAGTGTACAGCTTGTATAACAGTGTAAATTTGCTGTCTCCTCAAAATAACTCAACACACAGCCATTAATGTCTAAACCGCTGGCAACAAAAGTGAGTACACCCCTAAGTGAAAATGTCCAAATTGGGCCCAATTAGCCAATTTCCCTCCCTGGAGTCATGTGACTCGTTAGTGTTACAAGGTCTCAAGTGTGATTGGGGATCAGGTGTGTTAAATTTGGTGTTATCGCTCTCACTCTCTCATACTGGTCACTGGAGTTCAACATGGCACCTCATGGCAAAGAACTCTCTGAAGATCTGAAAGAAAGAGTTGCTGTACATAAAGATGGCCTAGGCTATAAGAAGATTGCCAAGACCCTGAAAATGAGCTGCAGCACGATGGTTAACACCATACAGTGGTTTAACATTACAGGTCCCACTCAGAACAGTTTTATTTCAAATTAAATGAAGCGCCACAAAATACAACAAAAATAAAGTGCAGACTGCACTTCTAGTGGCCGTGCTGGGTTGTTTGCAGCCACTTCCTTCCATCACATCCATTCTTACTTTGGATTGCGAACATTGCCATACCTGCTCGTCGGGTTATTTACAGGAGTGTCTTCCATTTACAGTCCCACCATGATAGAGATGCTGCCCAATTGTTGCATACCATGGGAAACCATACACTAAGAATTCATGAAGAAGCAAGGAAGAGATTGAGCACGCTGATCACATCATTTTGAAAAGGCTATTTTAGAAGACATGCAGGATTTGGATCAGTACACTGGAAGATCATAGGGGAGAGGGATAGTCTATGGTACACAACATATTCCACTCAGAACAGGCCTCGCCATGGTCCACCAAAGAAATTGTGTGCACGTGCTCAGCGTCATATCCAGAGGCTGTCTTTAGGAAATAGACATATGAGTGCTGACAGCATTGCTGCAGAGGTTGAAGGGGTGGGGGTGGGGGGTCAGCCTGTCAGTGCTCACACCACACACTGCACACTGCATCAAATTGGTCTGCATGGCTGTCGTCCCAGAAGGAAGCCTCTTCTAAAGATGATGTACAGGAAAGCCCGCCAACAATTTTCTGAAGACAAGCAGACTAAGGACATGGATTACTGGAACCATGTCCTGTGGTCTGATGAGACCAAGATAAACTTATTTGGTTCAGATGGTGTCAAGCGTGTGTGGTGGCAACCAGGTGAGGAGTACAAAGACAAGTGTGTCTTGCCTACAGTCAAGCATGGTGGTGGGAGTGTCATGGTCTGGGGCTGCACGAGTGCTGCTGGCAATGGGGAGCTACAGTTCATTGAGGGAACCATGAATGGCAACATGTACTGTGACATACTGAAGCAGAGCATGATCCCCTCCCTTCAGAGACTGGGCCGCAGGGCAGTATTCTAACATGATAATGACCCCAAACTCACCTCCAAGATGACCACTGCTTTGCTAAAGAAGCTGAGGGTAAAGGTGATGGACTGGCCAAGCATGTCTCCAGACCTAATCCCTATTGAGCATCAGTGGGGCATCCTCAAATGGAAGGTGGAGGAGTGCACGGTCTCTAAAATCCACCAGCTTCGTGATGTCATCATGAAGGAGTGGAAGAGGAGTCCAGTGGCAACCTGTGAAGCTCTGGTGAACTCCATGCCAAAGAGGGTTAAGGCAGTGCTGGAAAATAATGGTGGCCACACAAAATATTGACACTTTGGGCCCAATTTGGACATTTTCCCTTAGGGGTGTACTCACTTTTGTTGCTAATGGTTTAGACCAGCAATGGGCAAACTACGGCCCGCGGGCCGTATACGGCCCGGCGGACCTTTTAATCCGGCCCGCGGAGCTAGCCTCCCGCTAGGCTCCTCTCACAGTCCGCCCTGAAGACCGGTGTAGCATTAAAATCTGTCTCCTATGAGGATCTGTCCCCTCGACGTATCTGCGCATGTGCCGGAGATCGCCGATCGGCTGCTAATGCCTGAAACTGGCACATGCGCAGATACGTCGAGGGGGACAGATCCTCATAGGAGACAGATTTTCATGCTACACCGGAACGGCGCGGGAACACGGCGAGAGGAACGCGCGGAGCAAAGGTAAGTGAATTGACACAGAGGGGACTTGGGGACTTAATATGGGGGATGAATTAATATGGGGAATGAATTACTATGGGGGATGAATTACTATGGGGGATGAATTACTATAGGGGGGGTGAATTACTATATGGGGGATGAATTACTATATGGGGGATGAATTACTATGGGGGATGTATTACTATGGGGGATGAATTACTATATGGGGGATGAATTACTATATGGGGGATGAATTACTATGGGGGATGAATTACTATATGGGGGGATGAATTACTATATGGGGGATGAATTACTATGGGGGATGAATTACTATATGGGGGATGAATTACTATATGGGGGATGAATTACTATGGGGGATGAATTACTATATGGGGGATGAATTACTATGGGGGATGAATTACTATATGGGGGATGAATTACTATGGGGGATGAATTACTATGGGGGATGAATTACTATATGGGGGATGAATTACTATGGGGGATGAATTACTATGGGGGATGAATTACTATATGGGGGATGAATTACTATGGGGGATGAATTACTATATGGGGGATGAATTACTATGGGGGATGAATTACTATGGGGGATGAATTACTATATGGGGGATGAATTACTATGGGGGATGAATTACTATGGGGGATGAATTACTATATGGGGGATGAATTACTATGGGGGATGAATTACTATGGGGGATGAATTACTATATGGGGGATGAATTACTATGCTTAATATGGGGGAATATTCCTATACTTACTATGGATGACACATACACATCATTCATCTACTCTTGGTCCGGCCTGCGGGTCCAATATATGAACCCATTGCGGCCCTCAAGTCAAAAAGTTTCCCACCCCTGGTTTAGACATTAATGGCTGTGTGAGTTATTTTGAGGGGACAGCAAATTTACACTGTTATACAAGCTGTACACTCACTACTTTACATTGTAGCAAAGTGTAATTTCTTCAGTGTTGTCACATGAAACTATATAATAAAATATGTACAAAAATGTGAGGGGTGTACTCACTTCTGTGAGATACTGTGTCTATTTTCTCCTGTCATTTCATCAGTTTTTTTTAGAGACTTTTTATGTATATACAAGCATATACATCTGTATACACATATACATGTACTGCATTAACCTCCCAATCACGCCAAACATCAATATACATGTACATCACAATGGTATAATCCCTTGTTGGATCATATGTCATAGGTAGTGGGAATACTTAACTTTTTCACAGTTATTTTTAGTGATATCTTTGGCGCAAATATTCACGAGACAGAATGGGATTAGGTATAGACAAGTATTCTAACAAAGGTGTAGAACGTGAGCTGTTAGGAGAGGGGTTTCATCAACTGGAAGGTTTTACAGATGGATACCAGAGTGACACTTTCCAGAACATCATAGAATGACAATAGCTTTTCTCCAACTGGACAAAACAGACCTGACTAAAGATGGCTTAGGGAGAGTGAATCTCTGTAATGGGGGCACAGACAGCAATAAAAACTGACAGAGGTTCTAATTCTTCCCCACTGTACCCATCCCACTGGTTATCACATCATGAGATAAAATACTGAATGGTTTCATGGGATAAATATAGCACATTTCAATGAAATAGCGCATGCCTTTTTTTAGTTTTTTTTTTGTGAATTGGAAAAACATTTTTGAAAAATGCTATGAGCCATTTTACTTCAGATTTTAACCGCTAGCCTACAGGACACTTATACCCCCTTCCTGCCCAGGCCAATTTCCAGTTTTCAGCGCTGTTGCACTTTGAATGACAATTGCGCGGTCATACAACACTGTACTCATTTGAAATTTTTATCATTTTTTTGTGGCAGATAGAGATTTCTTTTGGTGGTATTTAATCACCTCTGGGATTTTTATTTTTTCTTAAACAAACCAAAAACCACTGAAAATTTTGGAAAAAAACGTTTTTTCTTAGTTTTTGTTAAACAATTTTGTAAATAAGTGATTTTTCTCCTTCACTGATATACGCTAATGAGGCTGCAGTGGTGGGCACTGATAGGCTGCACTGATGGACACTGATAGGTGGCACTGATGAGGATGCACTGGTAGGTGGCACTGATGGGCATTGACAGGCATCACTGATGGGCACTGAAAGGCAGCACTGATACATGGCACTGATATATGGCATTGATAGGCAGCACTGATAGGCGGCACTGCCTGGCACTGATAGGCGGCACTGACTGGCACTGTTAGGCGGCACTGACTGGCACTGATAGGCGGCACTGACACGGCACTGATAGGTGGCACTGATGAGGATGCACTGATAGGTGGCACTGATGGGCATTGACAGGCATTACTGATGGGCACTGAAAGGCAGCACTGATACATGGCACTGATACATGGCACTGATAGGCAGCACTGATAGGCGGCACTGACTGGCACTGATAGGCGGCACTGACTGGCACTGATAGGTGGCACTGATTGGCAGCACTGATAGGTGGCACTGATTGGCATTGATAGGTGGCACTGACTGGCACTGATGGGTGACACTGACAGTTAGCTCAGATGGGCACTGATATGTGGCATTGATGTACACTGGTAGGCACTGATATGTGGCATTGATGTGCACTGGTAGGCACTGATATGTGGCATTAATGTGGCACTGATGGGCACTGACACAAGGCACTGATGAGCACTGACACAAGGCACTGATGGACACTGACAGGTGGCACTGCTGGGGCTACACTGATCAACAGGGCACACTGATCATCAGTGCCCTGATGATCAGTGTACATGTCCCCTCCGTGGAAAGCCAATTACCCCCTGACAGCTCGGGAGGAGAGAAATGCCGATAACTGGCATTTCCCTGTTTACATGTGATCAGCTGTGATTGGACACAGCTGATCACATGACCGAGCCGACATCTTCGGCTCTTTCCGTGATCGGTGATCCGCTGTGTCCGAGGGACACAGTGCACCGCTGAGCACCACGCTGCGCGCTCCCTGAGCCGCGCATGCGCGGTGAGAATGGGAGGACGTCATTTGACGTCCTCCCAGAATAAAAGAACCACCTTGCGCCCATCATTGGACTATATGGCGGGCGGGAGGCGGTTAAAGAGGAAAATAACCCTTTGTGAATTGAGCCCAATGTAATTATTAAAAGATTTCTCTCCTATTCTGATTTTGGGCTTTCTCTAACATTTTTTTTCCCCAGAGACATTGGTCATTAGGAGAATTAGAGAGGATGAATATGCCCAGCAGAGACAGATAGGGTTCTAACCTGACCACACTTCAGGCCAATACTGAAAAACAATGTTCTGGATTTAAATACACTTTCACCATTGCTTACTGACTTTCCTAAATGTGTCCTGAGCATCCATGCTTTAGTGGCCTCTGGTCATGGAAAGGGTTTGAGATGTTCTACAGAATCTAAACTCACACAGTCATCAGCATCTCCACAAAAAAACTACCTTTGAAACCCAAAAAGTCACACCACTATTTTGTATTTTTCAGGTCTAAGTTAGGTGTAAGTTTTAGGTGGAGATTGGCAAAATGGGTAACTCCCCTATCTTTCCAAATATCTTGGAGACATCAGTGGCAGGGACTCCCTACCAAATTTACTTTTTTTGCGTTTGTCTATTTTGGGTGTTCCCACTTCTCCTGATACTTAGATAAACAGGGAGTGAGGGACTGCTACAGAGAGCTCAAAATTTTCAGAGATAAAGAGATAAAATAAACTTTAGTTTGATATTTACCATAGGTATATTCTATACATAGTATAGAATGAGACATCAAACCAAACATGAAGTGCTAATGAATACAATTACAAAATATATATATTTTTGAAGATATTGTTATTACATTTAATTTAGCCTAGTAGTTCATAGAAGTGCTGCTGCATGATCATGTATTTTTCAGTGTGCTTTTGTGGTGTTCTTTTACATGTGTTTTTTATGCATTTTCATGCTTTTTTTTTTAGGAAGAGGAGACTGGTTGTTTATCACAAAACCCTGCCAAAAATGCACCAAAAATGCACATATATGTGTTTTTCATGTCCTTTTCATGTGCTCACATTGAGGTCTATGGGGCACCATTTCAAAGATTGTACTGCAGAATTTTTCATTGAAGTGAATAGGCACCATAGATAATTATTTGATTTCCATTGTCATGCATTCAGTGCAACAGCAGATGCAGAAGAAATTGTACTAGTGTGGATGGGGCCTTAATCATTCATATACAGTGTGTTTTGGTAGTGACGTCTACAGAATTCTAATTACATAAAATGTTACATAGATAACATACATAATATGCATATGTTGTATTAAGGTTTCTGTGCATAAATTGGTAAATCTACTGATATCTAAATTAGTCCACAATGATTGGTACTGATATGCAGTTGTTCATCTGTACTCACTTGTATGAATGGATGTTATATTGGGTTCTCCTTGCACATCTGTCCCAGTGACTGCTATTATTTGGACATCATATTGCCTTCCAGATGTCAGTCCGTGTATGGAAATGGACTGTGAAGTTGTTGTATTCCAAAATATACCTTCAGACACCACTATTATATAGTAGCTGTAATTACTCTCTGGTGGAAGCCAACTCAGGTCTACAGATTCAGCAGTTACATTGGTAATTAGGACATTTCTCACCATACCAGGTTCTAGAGTAAAAAAAATACACATTTGAGGTGAATTAACCGAATGTATTTTATCCAACTGAATTATCAGATAATAAGCTAAAAAAAATGAGCAAACAGGCAGTATTTAAAATGCAGAAGAGGCATACAGTACTCGGTTTACTCTGCTTTAGGGTGTACTACAGCGTACACGTGTGCAAGGGTCCTGTTTACTAGCACATGGATTCAGGTGTTCCATGCATCCCCATGCAGTCAGTCGCTCTCATGTCAATTGTGACAGAGTGGCTGCAATTTGACATATGTTTGGCTGCGGTGCACATCCCCGAATGCACAATGTCTGCTTTCGGGGCTATACACATGCACAAATGTCAAATTGGAAAGTGTCTGTGTCCATGCAGCCCCTATCTCCCAACTGACATAAATGGCACTACCTGCATGGGATGCTGAAAACACCTGCATTCCTGTGCACATAAACAGGGCCATCACACGGGTGTACACTGTAGTATATCCATGTGAATAAGACCTTAATTTTTCCTACCTGCCTGTCTGCACTGTACACTGAGCAGTGCACATGCAGCTCAGTGTACGATTTTGGCATCTGTTGATATGAATGAATTCCCACGCATGCATGGAGTGACCTCATTTAGACCCAACCAATCAAAATGGCCAAATATTGGAAACGAGAGGAAAACTAGCCAAAGATATCAGCAGCCAATGAGAGAGCCCTGGGACACCCCATCGCTGGACTGGAAGTGGGTGTAGTTTTGCTTTAAGGTATCTTTAGGGTTTAATAAGATAATGGAGAGAGTAACGGGTATGACTGCAGGAGAGTTTGAAGTAACCCGTTTGTTTCTGTGACTGCTCTGCAAAAATTTGGTATACTAAATGGGTAAGAACCTCTTTCAAATTCTCTGTGTTCAGGTTCTTCATAATTTCAGGTGCTACAAAGTAGACAGAAAATTGAATGATATTGCAGAAAAACCCATATCCAAGGATGTAACTGACTAAATGATAATTACCACAAACATTAGGAGGAATGAATGCCATTTTATCCATGTATACTAAGCACTGTGGGCACAAAACTGCATTTATATAACATTATTAAAACTCAAGGAATTGTACATAAAATAAATGTTGGAATAGCATTGCCACCTCTAGCTCCAAATGTGTCAATTTAGTTCATTCAGATTTGGGCACTGATTTCTGTTGTAGATATTACAAGATGGGTAAAAATATAAATGTTCTAGTATGGTATGTATCAATATCTCTGATTTATCAAGCTGCTTAATGTGATATTAGTCACTTAAACTCCAGAAGGTTTTACCCCTTCATGACCAGGACATTTTTGCTATTCAGAACTGTGCTATTCTGACTGGCAATTGCTCGGTCATGCAACACTGTACCCAAATGAAATTTATATATTTTTTTTAAACACAAATAGAGCTGTCTTTTGGTGTTATTTAATAACCATTGGGCTTTTTTTTCTTTATAATCTAAAAAATACCTTAATTTTTGAGAAAAGACACTTTTTATGAGTTTCTGCTATATAGTTTTGCTAACAAATAATCTTTCCTCATAAATTTAAGCTAAAATGTAGTCTGCTACATTTCTTTGGTAAAAATAACCCAAATCAGTGATTAATATTTAGTCTCGGTGAAAGTTATAGAGTCTACAAACTATAGTATATATATTTAAAAAATGATCAGTCCCAAAGTACTGACTGCCTTGCTAATTTCTTGAAGCTCTAAAATGCCAGGACAGTACAAATCCCCCCCCCCCCCTCTAAAACACACACACACACCCATATGACCCCTTTTTGGAAAGTGGTATTTAGCAAGAGGCATGGTGAGTTTTTAGAAGTTGTAATTTACTCCCACTATTCTTTAGAAAATTAAAACATTAAATAAAATTTGTTTTTTTTTTTTTTTCCACAATTTGTTAACATACTGTCAACCTTATAACAAAATCAGAGACCAGGAAGGTGTGCTAATTTCCAGGTATCAGGCATTCTACTCTATAAGAAGTTGAAGGCACAGTTCAGTTAAAAGTTGATATGTATGTGGCCTGCATAAAGTTTGATACTCACTTGTATAGTTAACTATTACTGAGCTGTTGCCATGGATATTATCAACAAAGGCAGAGACAAGGAAGGTGTAATAATTTCCAGGTGTCAATCCTTCAATAATGTCAGAAGTTGTCAAATGTTTTCAGTGTTCTAGTATGGTACGTATCAATATCTCTGACCTATCAAGCTGTTTAAAGTGATATAAACCACTGGACCTCTGGAAGGTTTTATCCCCCCCATGATCAGGGCATTTTTCTGCCATTCAGAATTGTGCTACTTTAACTGGCAATTGCTCATGCAACACTGTACCCAAATGAAATGTATATAGTTTATTTCTTTTGGTGGGTGGTATTTAATCACTACTTGGTTTTATTATTTTTGCTATGTTATCTAAAACAATACCAAAATAAAAAAAAAATACATTTTTCTAAGTTTCTGTTATAACATTTTGCTAACAAATAATATATCTTCATAAATTTAGACCAAAATGTAATCTGCTACATTTCTTTGGTAAAAATAACCCAAATCAGTATATATTATTTAGTCTGTGTGGAAGTTATAGAATCTATAAACTGTAATATATATATATGAAATTGATCAATCCTGATGTACTGACAGCCTCTTTAATTTCTCGAGGCTCTAAAATGCCAGGACAGTACAAATATCCCCCAAAGGACCCCTTTTGGAAAGTCGACAGTCCAAGTAATTTAGTAAGAGGCATGGCAAGTTTTTTGCAGTTGTAATTAATTGTCACTTTTTGCAGAAAATTAAGAAATTAAATAAGATTAGTTTTTTTTCCCATTATTTTTTTACATACTCTCAACATTTTCAATAAGAGCAGAGTCCAGGAAGGTGTGCTAATTTCCAGGTATCAGGCATTCTACTGTATAAGAAGTTGAAGGCACAGTTCTTCTAAACATTGATATGTGTGTGGCCTGCATAAAGTTTGATACTCACTTGTATAGTTAGCTATTACTGAGCTGTTGCCGTGGATATTATCAACAAAGGCAGAGACAAGGAAGGTGTAATAATTTCCAGTCATCAGGCCTTCAATAATGTCAGAAGTTGTAGTTACATTCCTATTGAAAGTTGGCTCTCCCAGGATCTGAATGAAATAAAAACTGGCATTTCCATCTGGTTTGTCCCAGCTCAGAGATATAGAAGTGGTGGTGATATTCTCTGTGTTCAGGTTCTTCACAATTTCAGGTGCTACAAAGTAGACAGAAAATTGAATGATATTGCAGAAAAACCCATATCCAAGAATGTGACTG